ACACGAATCAGTCAGTCATTCATTCATTCAGTCATACAGTAAACTTTCCGGGGGGTGTATACGATTTATGTTCGTAGTGATTTATTGTGCTTTGTTAGTACTTTGAAGGTTATTGAAGCAATTTCAGTTAACTTATTTACATATTCTGTTATCCTTTTGCCAAGTTCACAAAAATTTTGAGGAATCGCTTTTGTTATTGTAATTTTTTTTAAATTTTAGAACATTTGCTTCTCATGTTGTGTAAAGGATCTTTACCCCAGAACACCCGATTTTTCTTTGGTAGCACAAATGCGCATGCGTTATCAAGCCATAGATCACGATGGCGTGACAATATGCTAGGAAGGAGTGACGTGTTGTTTTCAGATGTATAAACATTTCAGACGTGAATATTGAGTAAATTTTTGAAAATATACGCAATATATAAATTGATCTTATGCATTACAGGGCGTTCAATTAAGTGCTGATAATATTTAGATGGTATATTCACTATACAGAGATAGGAAGGAAGCAGAATGCCTAGACAGTGCAGTCAACACTAAACTCTCAAGTGTATAAACATTTCAGACATATTAAATATTGAGTCAAAAATCTTTGAGATTCTAGGCATTCAATTGAGTGCAGATATTATTTTCACGGTATACTCATACGGAGGTACAGTACGTGCGAAGAAGCGAGACATGAATATTGAGAAAATCTTTGAGATTCTACGCAATAATATAATATATAAATTGATGTTATGATTACCGGCATTCAATTAAGTGCCCATCGATATTATTTAGACTGTGTATTCATTATACATTGTCATTGACTCTATAAGGTGCTACATCACAGAACTCAGTACAAAGAGCGAAAAATTGCATCAGATCTCCATCAGATCAATAAAGTGTAAACAACTATTAAACAGAAGCGGGTGTTTGTACAGGCGTTTACGAAGAAAATATTGCGAGACGAAAGACATTAGTCGAGTCAGAGCTCCTTATTTAAATAAGAAAGACGAGGGGATAGCCAATGTGTTATCGCCAACATGTTATCGCCAACATGTTATCGCCAATCGCTTGGCTCGCCAACAAGATTTATGCAATGGAAGAAAAAAGCAAGGAAGTACATGTAGCCAACATGTACTGTCACGGACCTTGTTTACTGTCTAGCACAACGCCGTTGTCAACGGTGCAAACTCGTGTTCAGTGCAACGATAAACTCTACCAGATCTTACGAGAATCAATCTGTAGTATTCTGTACACAGAACTGTATCAAAGCTTGTCAAAACTGCTTTAAACACTGCAGCTATAACTGTGAAACTATTGAAATCTAAAGTGACATTAATTCAACACATGCGAAAAGCTGAAAATAGACACAACATAACCTTCGAAAAGTCAAAGGTCAGTGAAACATGTCACAATTGGGTTGAATGCGGAAGCGGATGGAGCAGATCCATGGAATGGATATGCAGATAAAATACGGAACGGATGAAGATAAAATGCTTCCTTTCAATGATATAACGATGTAGTGCTTATTATTCATAACATATCGTATACAGCTATTTCAATTATAGTTTTAGATAAGTTTAGCATAGCAGTAGCCTCCTCGTGGGGATGCTTTTAGCGACAGCTGCAAATGCAAATGAAAATTTAGTATATGCAAAATTTGGTTGTTGGTGAAACAATTAAAATTTAGCATGTGTGTAGCATCACAATAAATAGATAAATTGTGTCAGTTTCACAAGGCACGTTTCTGATGGCTTGTTTCAAATGTCACGCTACTTGTGTGCCGAGATGAAATGCCTTTGGTAATTGTTTATTTCGTAGTGTAAGCCATCGATCAGCTTTTCTAGGTTGTCAGCGAACCTATATAGTTCTTGCAGTGTCTTTTTCAATTTGAAACTTCACACTATCCTTGGATCCCTAGTTTATGCTGCAAAGACATTGCAGGTGAATGTTAGAGGGGATTATTAGAGGGGAATATTGAATATAGTCCCCAACAAGAACAAAGGAAACAAGCAGGGTGAAAAATAAATATATATATTTAGTATTTTTGCACAAGTGAACATAACAAATCCTACAAGTTGATTAGTCAAATTTGACATATTAAGCTGTTATATTCACCTACAGGTGAATATAACAAAACCGAAGTTTTCAAAATGGCGGCTAGTCATTTTGTGGAAGTTACTGATAAAAAATAAGCAAAATTAATTAAAATAAATTCAGTCCCAAAAAACACAAAAGACTTGTGTAAAATACTAAAACAATTCTTCGCCTCAGGCGAGGTGATTATTGGGGAATATTCACCTCTACATCGTATCTGCGAATATTCCACAATAATCACCTCGCCTTCGGCGGATAATTGTTAAATATTGTGTGTGGTAGTATTATTACGCTAGCAAGGGGGAGGGCGGAATATACAGTATAACAGAGTTCTTTGTTGTATTATTTACATACATGTGTTAATTAAAATACTAACAGTAAATGACAATACTGTATCGAATTGACTTATAGTTGGTGCA